TTTTTTGGGGAAAAGAAAAATAACGAAAAATTAAAATTAATAAAAAAAGAAAAAAAATATTTTTATTAGTTAATGTGAAGTACATAGTATATGAAGTAAAACATGTATATACCACAGAATAGCATTTTTATATCACATTAAAAAGAATACAGAATATGAAAATTTAAATCCAAATCTTTAATGCTGGTACGGATTAGGGACAAGAAAAAAAGTATATTTTTTTGGGGATAAAAAAGACAAATATAAATAATATTTACATTTAAAAAAATAACTTTAATGCCTGATGCAGATTTTTATTCAATTGACAAGACATACGATCTAAGACTTAGTTTAATTTTGAAAGTTAAATATGGGAGATAATCTGCAAAGATTAAAAGCTTCAACTTTACATTTTTTAGCCAATATTATAAATTTACAAATGTATAAAGAAGAATTTGACAGGATTTTAATGTCTAGAACATATCTTCACAAACATTTTGCAAAATGTAATCCGTGTTGGATCATGAAAATGTGCTTCTTAATTCAGTTTATTGAAATTTTGCTTTCAAAAGCGTGCATTGGAACTTATCTGTGAAGAACTCAAAATTTAAATCCAATTGAAAAGGTTTTTTGAAAACAGTAGAAAGCACCAAAAGGTAAATCATTAAAAGATATTTACAAAATATCACTTCACAAAAAAAAAAAAATGCAATGAGTATTTTTATTGATTATTAAGCACAGAATTATTATTAGTTTCTTGGCATCAAGCAGAACATGAGAGTTTTGAAATGAAAAATCCCGCTATTTTTTTTATTTTTTAATTTGTGCTAACGAAAAAACTGTTAAAAAGGAAAAGTAAATACAAAATAGGATTAATAAGACTACACTAACTTTAAAGCAATTTGTTTTTGTTTTTCGTAATCGCTATTTCACCGCTATTAATTTTTTTTCCTATCTGTATGAAATTAATTTTAAAACTAGTATCTGAGATAATTTATTTGCCTCGAATTGTATAAAGTTTAACAATTTGAAGGAAAGATTTTTTGTTTGTTAATAATATGCTCATACTATTAGTTAATACGATTATTTATAAATATGAGTGAAAATGAAGCTCCTTAAAATCAATGAAATATTATGAAGCTACTGATCATTATGATTCAAGATATTTATTTAAATTTTACACAATCTTATTGTTAGTGACTTTTCCGAAATAATAACTTCTTTAGCAAAAGAGATTTCGAAGCAATTTTTTAAAATCTATTTTCAATTCCAATAAGTCCAACTTCAAATCTTGAGTGACTCGAAACTGAAAGTTTAATAATTGAGACCAATGGGATTTCTCAAAATTGAAGTTACGTGTAATGCATTTTAATTAGAAGATGCAAGTTTCAGGACTTAATCTGTTAATGGATTATTATTCATATCTTTAATTACACTGCCGTAGCCTTTATTGCATCAAAGTGTTTATTATCAGAAAATTAAGTATTTTTATCTAGAATTTTAAATATTTTCTCTTCTGTGATTTAATAAGTTACATTTCAGAAGGAACGATAAGTAATTGAAATTGCATAACTTTTCTAAGTCTCGTAATTAATAGTCCCGCAGTGGAGTGATCAAAAGGACACGATTCATAGTAGAACACCGAAGTCAAGATCACTGACTGCTGTCATTAAGGGGATGGGAGACCACTTTGATCAACCTGCGTAGGGATCAAGGATGCGCGATATCGGCCCTCGTTAAATTGTTCTATCGTAAAGTTGTCGACTTCGAGCACAGGTCATCCTGCTACCAAAGCAGGTTAGCCATCCCCTCTGTAGAGGATCCAAATTGCGATGGCATGTCTTCGGATAATCCTCAGGGATATTTCCCAGAAAGTTGCCAATAGACCAGTGCGACGTAATTGCAGCTCTAGTGCGACGTAAATAGAGTACCTACCTACTTCGTTATTAATACTTACTGAATTGTTTTACAGTCCATTCTTACTTATAAATTTATATGTTGCATTTCAGGAAAAAAATTGGTACATAGATACAAAATTTATCGGTTTTTGTTTTAAAATTTTAAGTACGTACAGTCGGCATAATGGAAACACCTTAAATATAAGTTGGTGGATTAAACTGATTTAAAGATGTAATTTGGTTTGAGATGGGACCTCAACGGTACTTATTCATTAAATCAGGTTATAATTAAGTGTCAAAAGCATACATATTTTTATCGAATGAAAATACTATTTAAAAAAGGGATTTTGTTTCTGGAATTCTTATATAGCAATCACACAAAATGGCCAACAATAATGTTCCGAATAGTTCGGCTACACTGTAAAAAATTACGATGAAAAAGTATCAGCAATGAGAATGTTGGTACTTTATACCGTAAAATCCATTTTTAACAAAGCATGTTACGGGAAAAAAATTGCTTTACCGTAATTTTTGTAGTTATAATTATTATAAAATCAATGTATCACTAATTACGCAAAAATAGATATTACTGTAAAAATTACGGTAATAATTTTTACGCTAAAAATGAAATTATGGTAAAATAAACTTACAGATTATGCAGCCAAAGTACCGATACTTCATACGGGAATTTGATGTGGCATTTTTTAAACCGTCGGAAAGCAGATCAAAATTTGGTGTTTTTAATATTATTTTCAAGTTTTCTCTGTGCATGTTATCCTTACGTAAAGAGCATTCATCGTATACTTAGCTTTACAGATTAAAAAAAATATGCGTAGAATAAAAGTAAAAATACAGGGGATGATTTTCGAAAAACTACTTAACTATATTTATGGGCCAATAATCTTATTGTTTGTAGTTTACTCTAAGGAATCTTGGAGTTCTAATTCCAATCTTTACGTTGTAAGAAATTCCGGATCAAATTATGGCAAAAAGTTCTGGCATCCTGAATACTGTGTCCTTAAAATATATTTAACAGTATTTCCATTTTTAACATTAAATATTATACCGTCCGTAATATTTGCAGTAATTTTTATTTACTTACAGTGGTTTTGCAGAAAATATATGACAATAAAAATTATGATCTATCCGATTTTTAATGCCCTTAAATTATACGGTAAAAATGAATTTTACGACAAAACATACTGGCACCTACAGTACTTACCGTAAATTCGTTACGCATATTTGTTCAGAAATACAAAATTTATGCTTGAGTTTGTAATTTCAGTTATTTTCTGTGCTATTAATTAAGCATGTTGGCCTCTCAAACCAAATCTCAGTTCTTACAAAATCGATAATTTATAGTTGATTTCAATTATTCTATTCTTTGTTAGGTTTTTATTATATTACACATTTTCTTCCTCTTTTTAATTTTGAAGGAAATTATAGTTATAAATAACTAAAAAAGTACTATACAATGATGCAAGCAGTTATTTATCATTTTTATCAGAATACAAAACACGGCTGGATATGTTTGACAAAACTTAAAATTGAATCTTGGAATTATATATAATTTGTTACAATAGAAGATTAGGAGGTTACATTAGGAGTTCGAATTTATCTCTGGATTTACATATTTATTATATTATTTATTTTAAAACAAAAGTATTTATTATTCTTTTTACGAAAACAATACTACCAAACAAGGTTCCATTTTTAATACATTATGATACCCGCATATATGATATTGATATTTATTTGATGCAAATAGCAGATAGATTAACAATGAGGGCACAATAAACAATTGTGAATCATATAGGGTAAACCAACCAGTGAAGGAACACTACCCAGTTAAGGAACATTTCATTTATATTGATTAAAAATAAGAATTTGAAAGTTTTTATTTAGATTGATTGGTTACAATAGCTTACTGCCAAACAATAGGAAGTCATCTAGCAATGTTTTGGATTACCTGGTCAAATAGACTTCGCTGGAAAAATTTTTGAATTTTATTTTATTTGTGTAACACCTTGTTTCCTTGAAAAAATTATAAGGTTAGTATTTGTATTTATGTGTTTGAAGTGGAATTAATTGCATGCAATAGTTTTATTTTTCTTACTGTGAAAAAGAGAATTCAAAATGTAGTTATTGAAGTTACGTTTTATTTTTTTAAAGCATCATAGCATAGTAAAGTACTGAGATAAGGGGGTGTTTATTCACTGGATCACCAAACGATGAAAAACCAGTGAAGGAACAAGTGTTCCTTTAATGGTTTTTTTCTAAGTTAATGAAAATATGAGAGAAACTTTAATTTTCTTGTACCTTTAGTGATGTTCCGGATCAAAAGTGTCGGCCTAAAACCAACACGCTTGATAATTTAGTAAATAACGACGGACCACCAGCTGCACTTTTTGTTTTTTATTAATAACAACAACATTAAGTATAAACAACAACAACAGCTGGAGATATTGTGGATTTCGAAAGGGTTTAAGAGATATTTATCCACATCTAATGTTTTCGAGTCTCATAGGAGAAGTGCTGATTTAATCTCGTTCCGCTAGGGAATGGCGCGCATGCGCCAACAAAAAGTATGTTATAAATACGAAAAATAACTTTCAAGCAGTGAGGGAACAGGCATGTTCCTTTACTGGGCATAGATTTCCCAGTGAATGAACAGTATGAGTTAATATGTTGACACTTTAATTTTCAATTCATAATTGCAAAAAAAAGGTTAACATTTTCCAAGTATTTATATGNTATAATTTTTCAAAAACTTTAACATTATTGAGTATTATAACTTTAACATAACTAATACTCAATCAGAATCTTTGAGATACATTTAAAATTTTTTACATGAAATTTCAATAAAATGCAAGTGTTGCATAAAATTATATACAAATATTTAGATGAATATACAACTATTTAATTTTCTATCGGCAGTACACTCAATCTGGAAACTGATCTTTTATATACTCCCTTACAAGTTTTTACTTCAACTACCCTTATTTGATTATCTTGTCCAGGATACAGTTTTACTACCCGACCCAATACCCATTTGCATGGGAGAAGGTTTTCTTCTTTTATCAAAACCATATCCCCGATTTTTAAATTTTTTTGATTTTTTACCCATTTTTTTCTTTGCTGTAAGCTATTCAGGTAAGAAAGGCTCCATCGTTTCCAGATAGTTTGTACTGACTTGGTAATTCTCTGCCAAGAGTTTAAACGACTTGGCTCTATATCAGTTAGTGATGGTTCAACTATGGCCGTTATCGGCCTCCCTATTAAGAAATGTGCCGGTGTCAGCACTTCTAAATCTTCAATATCAGAACTAAGAGGAGTAAGAGGTCGAGAGTTCAATATTGCCTCTATTTGAGTTACGAGTGTTAAAAATTCTTCGTAATTAAATTTAGAGTTCCCTGCTACTCGCTTAAAATGAAATTTAAATGATTTAATGTTTGCTTCCCAAAACCCTCCCCAATTTGGGCTCCTTGGGGGAATAAAGCTCCATTCAATTTTTTCTTCGCCAAAAAATGCAAATAATGAATCCTCTCGACCCTTTACCATCTTAAACAAACAATTAAGTTCTTTATTAGCCCCTACCATGTTAGTTCCGTTATCTGAAAAGATTTTACGACATTTACCCCTTCGGGCAATGAATCGTTTAAGCGTCGCTATGAGAGCTTGCGAAGTCAAGTCACTGATTGGCTCAAGGTGTATAGCCTTTGTTACTAAACATATGAATATACAAACGTAGATTTTAATTTCAGGACCTTTCCTCTGATATTTATTTTTAATAAAGAATGGTCCGCATAAATCTATTCCAGTAGAACTGAAAACTTTATCAGGTGTTATTCTTTCCTTCGGCAAATTACCCATCTTTTGATTATACTCTTTAGGATTTGCTTTAAAGCAAACTATGCAACTGTGCACGATTTTTTTGCTCAAATTCCTACCATGAATGGGCCAATATTTTTGTCTAACCTGAAAAAGTAGATGTTGTGCACCAACATGAAAATACTTAACATGATAGTATTTAACGATAATTTCAGTTAACTTACATTTAGATGGCAATAAAATGGGATGTTTACTCGAGTACGATAATTGAGAATTTTCTAGTCTGCCACCCACTCTCAATAACCCTTCTTCATCTAGAATAGGAGATAGATTAAATATCTTACTTTTATTGGAAATGCTACCTCCCGACTTTAGAGCAGTTAATTCTTTTGGAAACTCTTGCTCCTGCAAGCAGCGAATTAGATAGGTTTCAGCATTGGACAATACTTCTACCTTCAGAGGACCAAGAATCCTTTTCTCTGGATTTCTCAAGTTATGAATGTACCTGAAAAGATAACTGCAAATTCGAACTATAGTTAAAAATCTATTGCTACGATTAATCAGATTATCAAAAAAGGTTTTGTCATGATTTAAAGTCAAGACTGTAGTTTCTACTGAGTTTTTGGATTTTAGTTCTGGTAAATATTCTTCTTCATTTGGCACTGGACAGTCAAATTCACTCACGAGTTCATCGGACAACAAAAATGAAGGACCATGCCACCACTTTTTGCTGTGTAGAAGCGATTCTGCACTGAGACCTCTTGTCAACAAGTCTGCGGGATTTTC